CCAGCTCCGGAAGGACTGTGGGTGAATCTGCTGGAGAGTTCTGAAACAGAGAAGAAAATGAAAAAGGCTCAGCCGTGACTAACCATTTATCTTTTTTTTTCAAAATATATATTTTTATTAATTTTTTCAAAAAATAAAAATTAAACAAAGAACAATACATAACACTGTAAACACACTTATATACATATTTTCCAAATGAAAACTAATGAAAAAGAAAGGAAAGGAAAAATAAAAGATATGAAGAAAAAAGACAAAAGAAAAGAAAAAATACTTTTCATAACCTGGAACATTACCAAATTCTTGCTTCAAATACTGCAATATATAAATCTTAGTTAAAATATTATAAAAGACTTCCACCGCATTTACCACAGGTCTCTTACTTGTCTTACTCGCTTTTACATCTGTTCTTCAATCATTTCCCTTCCTTAGATTCTTTCATAATCAATCAAATCTTTATGTTCTCTGTATTCTTCACAGACTAAACATTTATCATTTGACTGACGCTTACTGATTTCCATGCACCAAGGAGCTATGCATGCCTGCTATGTTAGGCTAGCCTGTGGCTTGTGAAAACATTCATAAGCCGATAAGCAGACACAGGGCAGACTGCTTCCATTTTTTTGTCAAGTTATCCAAAACCTTCTGGGATTGGCTGGGGGGGGGAGAGGGACAACCCCATGAGATTGGCATGAGGCGATAGATGACCACACGCTGGAGCATAGGCTATTGGGATAACGAAACTTCCACTCTACTTTGGAGCACTGGAAATACCTTCACTCCAACAGAAGGATTAGTTAGCTATTACTTTGCCCCTTACTGGATCTGTGTTCTCTTGGTTGGAGCAAGACTCCCTGATGTCACCGTTGTAGCCAGAGGTCCTCTGCTCTTCTGAAGATTCTATTTGCTGCCAGATGATGGCCTCCTTCTCATACTCCTTTCTGTAAAGGTTGGTTCGGTCAGAAAGGCTTGCCCTCCGTACCACTTTCCTGAGGGAAAAAGGACAGAGGAGAGGGATTGTGAAGATGATAATCACTGAAGTGGAGCAGCTACATTCATCGTTCTGTAGCTACATTTGCGGTGTGAACAGCCCTTCAGAATATTTCACCAAGTTGCATATAAGCATCTTCAGGTCTTGCTAATAAGAAAAGTACCCTTCACCCTTTGTACTTATTATTATTATTATTATTATTAGAAGTAGTAGTAGTAGTAATAGTGATTAGGCCTATGGGACTTCAGAAATTGACCCGCCAGGCCTAAGCGCACCCACCTTTCCCAGCCGTGACTCAAAGTCGTTGTTTTTTCCAAGGTGGGGTGAGGCAATATTTTGGATGCCCTCATCCCAAGCTGTATACAGGGACGCGGACTTATAAAAAATATTGGGGGGGGGCCCGGGAAAGCTCATGAATAATAAATAAGCTCATGAATATGCAAATAAAGTGGCGCCGCCTCCTCGTGAGCGAATAGGGGAGAGTGTGCTGCGCCTATTAATCAGCTCCAAAGGAAATTGGGTGGAGCTTTTGCTCGGGAGGGAGGGCAGGAGGCATGCAGCCCGCCCCTCCCTGTGCATTTTGGGCTGGGGGAGGGGCGGCGATGGCGCTCTGCTGGAGGGGCGCCGGAGATTATTGGGGGGGCGGAGCGCCCCCAAACGAATTTTTGAGGGGGCTCGGGCCCCCTCAAGCCCCATGGAGTCGGCGCCTATGGCTGTATAGAGCTTTGTACATAAGAACAAACACCTTGAATTGTGCCCGGCAGCTTATTGGCAGTGAGTGCAATCCTTTCAGCAGTACCATAACATGGTGGCGATAGCCTGCCCAGGTGAGAAGCCAAGCCACTGCATTTTGCACTAGCTGCAGCTTATAGGCCAAGGGCAGCCCCATATATAGCATACTGCAGTAATCCAACCCGGAAGTTATAAGCAAGGGATTCTGACTCCCAGTTATATTTAATAATAGCAGCAGCAAAATGACTCCCCTTGCACCCTAAGTTATACTGTTGAAATGAAGAGCCCAGGAGTGGAGTTCTGCATGGAAAGGCTGTGAGCACCTTTAAGTTCTGCATGGAAAGGCTGTGAGCTCCTTTCTGTTACTCAAATTCAGAATTCTTTAATTGGCCGAAGAGTGTATCTTTTACATAAGACTGCAGCTTGTGAATCTCAGGACAGTAGTAAAAAGAATTCAAAAGATCCCATGCGCAAACCTAAAATCTGTCAACTTGTGCCTTGGTTCAGCAGCAACTGAATTCATTGAAATGCTTGCATAAATTATTGTGAGTAGGCAAATCTGCAAATCTGCTATAATATTTTTGTCTAGGACATGTAATTGCTCCATAATTCATAACTAAAGCATTAGTTCCCATGATGCTAAATGGTCAGTAGGTGGCTCTCATTCCATGCTAGCAAACTGTGTGTCTTCCCTCAATATACTGTAGGTATATAAAAAGGTTGAGAATCCTTAACCCCCTTAGTTCTCACATTCAACACAACACAACCCTATGCAGGCCTATGAAAATCTCACTGCGTTCAAGGGGCTTAGAGCATGTATAAAACTGCATGCAACTGCATTTGATCAGATTCACTTCTTGTAACCCATGCCTCTCCCTCCCATTTTTTTTGGATCTATATTTCAAAACTAACACAGATAAAATTGTTTTTTTAAGATCTTGGTAGCAAGAACCACCTGATTTTTTTTTTTTTTTTTGCTTATGTTCTTCTGTAAAACAATACATTTTGGTAACAGTGCAATATAAAATAATAATAAGGAAAAGGTTAATTTTAGCCCCCGATAAATCACACTGTAGGATTTCTTCCTAAAATATCTCTTGTAGGAAATCAGTTTTGTCTCCACCACAAGCCCACATTCTCAGTTAAATCTTGCAGTCATGGCGTGCATTTGCCATGTTGCCTTTCTTGCTGAATCTGCTTTTATTTATTGAAAGTAAGCTTACAGAAGTCAACTGTGGCCAGTTGGAAATCCCAATAAGCGGCTACAAAGCTCAGACTCGCCAAGCACTAAGGCATGGAAATATACATCTAGCCAACATGGCTTCTCTCTGCTCACTCACCCTCTGCTTCCAGTGCTGGAGGTTCTTCTGCTCAAGGAGGACTTGTGCCTCATCTGAGACTTCATGATGACATCGTGCTTATGCTTCAGCTCCAAGAGCAGAACCTTAAACTCTTCTTCTTCACAGAGGTCTAAAGGGAATAGAAACCAAACCCTTGAGTTGAGCTGCCTTGCAATGATGTAGCTAAAGACTGCATAGTAACCACAGTCCCCAGCTCACACACTGCATTTTATTAGGAGTACTCCAAGCCCAGCAGCACCTAAGACTGAGAACAGAAAACATGAGCTTATTTTATTCATGTGCATAAACCAGTCTTGGGTTCAGATTCTTCCCCCTCCAGCAATTTGTGGGGGGTGGAGGTGTAAAGAACATGCCCCCAGAAGACTGATATTCAGATGGGGAGCCAGGATATGCATTTGCCCAAGAATGGAAAGTGCAAACGGAGGCAGAATTACAGCTCACCTATTGGCATCTCATCCATGGTGGTTCGGGCGCTCAAGCTTGCGCCGTGAGACACCAACAGCTCTGCCATATGCATCTGGAATAAAGGAAAGAAAGCAAAATTCTTACTAGTCCTCTGAACACTAGGGCCATGTCTTTTATACAGATGAACCTGGCATGGCAAGAAGAGCCCTGCTGAATCGGACCAAAAGTCCATCTAGTCCAACTTTCCCCAACCTGGTGCCCTCCATATGTTTTGAACTTCATCTTCAACCTGGCCAGAGCAGGTAGGAGAAGGCCTTGTCAAGAAGAGAGTTTGGATTTGATATCCCGTTTTATCACTACCTGAAGGAGTCTCAAAGTGGCTAACAATCTCCTTTCCCTTCCTCCCCCACAACAAACACTCTGTGAGGTGAGTGGGGCTGAGAGACTTCAGAGAAGTGTGACTAGCTCAAGGTCACCCAGCAGCTGCATGTGGAGGAGCAGGGACGTGAACCCGGTTCACCAGATTATGAGTCTACCGCTCTTAACCACTACACTACACTGGCTCTCCAGTCAAGTCCTGCAGCATCTTGTCTCCCCACAGCAGGGAAGCTCACAGGTAGGATATAAGGCTCTCTTCATGGTTGCTCCCCAGCCAATGATATTGAGGTTCTATTTAGCTATCGTAGGTTAAAGTCTTTGAGGAACTACTTCTCATGAGTTGGTCTAGCCCTCTTCTGAAAGGATGAAAACAAAACACGTACGTGTCCCCAGAAGGCAGCAGCATGGAGGGGCTCCCAGCCATCCCAGTCCTTGAGGTCCAGCCTTGCTCCATGGTCCAGAAGAATCTCTGCTGCGTGCAGGTAGCCATTGGCTGCAGCTATATGCAACTAGGAGAAGGAGAAGAAGGAGAAGGCAATACCTTTTATATGAGTCTGAAACAACCTAGAGCCTGACCTTAAGGATTAAGTGCATCCCAAAGACCTAAGCTGTATTCTCAACTGGGCTCCTGCTCCTTGTACCAATACCTCATTCAGCTTTGCATCCATTTCAGCAATTAAGAGTTCTTAAGATTGCTGCAGCTCCCAAGCCTTTCCAACTCAAAGCAAATGCTTAGCAATTGCCTCTTAATTTCTTAGCACTGAACCTGCACAGCTAGCAATAAGACTCTTTATTATCTGTAGATGTTTTGCCAAGCTCAGATAACCTGACCCTAATACAAAATCAAGACTGCCCCAAGCAAAGTATGGCAATGAGCACATAGAAAGTTGCCATATATCAAGTCAGATCATCGGTCTGCCTGGTCTCTTCCAGCCTTACTTGGAGATGGTGGGAACTGAACCTGTGTGGAAAATGTGTGCTCTACCACAATGGCACAACCCTTATGGCTCTTGCTCCTAATACTGCCCCAGCCAAATAAGCATGGCTTGATATAAATTTAATACCCACGACCTTTCCATTTCATCCATAGCCCACCATTAACAGCCAGACAGAACTCCACAAAACCAATAGGGGGCTCCAAGTGAACGGAGCATTGCTATGCTAGAGAAGCTCCTTGCATTCCTTGCCAGAGCTTGATGTGCAAAACAGAATTTCGTTATCAATTTTGCTACTGAAACAACTTGTCTTAGGGCCAAAGTAGATGTAACTGGACCTCCCAACACATTTCCCCTCTGTTGGAACAGCTGTGTAGCAATAACACCCCACCCCCCGCAAACCACCACCATTTGGATCAGGGCCAAGTACTGGGGAGGAAGATTTAAAATTGTAGAGTTGCAGAACTGCAGAGTTGGAAGGCACCACGAGGGTCATCTAGTCCAACCCCCTGCAATGCAGGAATCTTCTGCCCAACGTGAGACTCGAACCCACAGCCCTGAGATTAAGAGTCTCCTGCACTACAAACTAAGCTATGTTGCCATACTGTTTTCCTGAATTAAAATGCCTAGCTGAAGTGGATATTAATATTATTAATCAAACAAACAAACAAAACAAACAAACAAACAGATCTTCACTCTTAAGATTCTGGTGAAGGTTGCTGCAATTTTAAATACAATATAAAAAATGATTTAAAACAAATTATGATCAGGGTGGGTCCAAAAATATGCATCTCAAGTGTCAAAGGCCAGGGTAAAGAGATGCATCTTCAGCATATGATGGAAATATGCAGTGAAGGTGCCAGGCACACCTCTGTAGGGAAGGAGGGATAGTAATACTAGCAATTGTCCCATGGAATGCTAAAATAAATAAAGTGCAGCAACCTGTGCATTTGATGAGAACCAGCAATTGCAAACACCAATTTCATTTAGGACACCTGACCTGCCACATTTCAGCAGTCGGTGGTGGCAGTTCTTAACATATAAACCTACTCTTAAACATCACAGTATTTATTCCAGATTAAAAATGAATGTGGTTTCGTTCTCCTAAGCACGGATGAGTGTGAGAATCAATTTAAAGCTCACTTGCAGAATTAACTCACACTGAACACTATGCAGCCACCTGTTTTGTTACCCAAGACCACAGCAAAAAGGGATGAGATCGACACACACACCCAACACACTCTCAAACTGTTCCTATCTGGAAGAGTTCATGCGATGTTGTGTTAATCCCTGACCCCTAACTACAGTAGCAAAACCAGGTGTAGTTAGCGATCAGAATCTCCCATTTTGTGCCAGTGATGAAATGATGCTTTTTACAGTCAGAAGGATGTCCTTGGAGCCATTCCTACGGCAAAATGCATATACAAGTGCTGTATATTTAGTCACCACTTTGCAGGTGAAGCCTCAGAGAGGTTTAGTGACGCTGTCATGAGATAAACTCCTCATTGCACACCAAGCTGAGCTGCTTAGGAGGAAGGCTGTAAAAAGGTGGGGGTGGGGGATAAATATTTCAGCAGGAGCCCAATGTCTGACTGTGGGTCAGTCCAGAGTGTGGGGAGTATTCCTGGGGGGGGGGGCAAGGGTGTGTTGTCCATGCCTGCTCATACTAGGGCCAAAGTACAGAAGGTTTTTTAAAATAAAAAAGCAACTGAGAAGAGTTGCAGATTTGGGAGGGAGGGAGAGTTAACAGTTCCCTCCTTGCAATATTCCCCTGATCTAATCCTCTCCTGCAAAGCTGCTATTTGCCCCGCTGTGGAAAATACAACCCTTCCTCTATTGCCGCAGGGCCAATCAAAACGGAAAGCCTTGCAGTAATTTTAAAAACTAAAAATAGAAGCTTTGGGACATCAGAACATGGAGCTCTCATGTCTTGTATTTTAACACACACCCAGGCTTACCTATCTCACATGGTTGTTGAGAGAGAGAAAAAGGGGAAGAACTATTGAAAACCTTGAGAAAAGGCGAAACACAAAAATAACTAAAATAAGAGCAACATAACCCTCTTATCCTGGTTTCTTAATACTGGCCATCAACTGTAATAATAAAGATTTGATTGGGCTAATATAAAAATAATATACCACTGGAACTGAAATTCCTTTCAGCCCTCTTAAAAAGTAATTGTCTACCCTGAACATCCGTCATTTCAAGAAGATCCACAGCAAAAAAGCAATAAAGGAAATGTTGAAGATTTACAAGTCCAATTACATCCAAAGGCAGGCAGCCAGCCAGCTTCTTATAATAATTCAGTGAGAATATGGCTCACCAGCGTAGCACCTTGTGCATCGGTCCCGTTCAGATCTTGCCCTGTTGCTATCATCTCTGTAATATCATCAACCATTGCCTGTTCTGGCGCAGCTCGCGTCTCATTGATTTTCTCCTGTGTTATTCCTACAGTGAGCAAAAGGAGAAGAGTAGGAACAGCATGAGGTTATATTTGACTTAATGGAAAAATAGTTTGGTGAGCTTACAGGCTAACCAGTATATGTTACAGGCAAATGTGTATAGGAGAGAAGCTTTTAAAACAAATCTGTTCCAGGAGGTATGCTTCAACTTATGAACACCTTTTTTTTTTTATTTCAGGGGGAAAGCCAGATGAGAGAGGGAGGCATTTGGAGCAAAGAAACAGCTGGATGACAAAAGGTTTATAATAATAAAATAATAATAATTTATTATTTATACCCTGCCCATCTGGCTGGGTTTAGGCATACCTCCCTGCTGCTTTTCTGTTTCAAACAGAGCAGTTTTTATTTTTATTTTTTTTTTAAAAAAAACCAGCAGCATCAGAATTAATAATGCCTTTATTTGCACATAACATGTAGCTAGCCCCTTAGACTACACACATAGAAAAAAATCAGCAAATAGCAATCAAAATGGTTACGGGGATGGATAAACGTAAATAAATCTGCTGGACTGCAGTCATTGACTTCAGCAGCTCTGGTGTACATGTGGGGAACATCAGGGCACAAACATAGTTTTGCATGGGGAGAGACTACTGCCTTGTTTACTTCCAGGAAGTGGTTTTCTTTTGCCCAGGACTGGGCACAAAACTGCCGGAAGAAATATAAAGTTTGGTGCAGCAATTGTGCAGCTGAACAGAGCTACTTTAAACCTAAATATTTTCATGGATGCGAAAAGATAACTTAATGTGCTAGATCAGGGATAGGGTAACAGGTAGACTACAGCTTCCATTATTCCTAGCCTTTGTCTAATCCTCTTTTAAATTCCTCTAAATTGGTGGCTATCAATAGTTTGACTCATGAGAACATGGCCTGGATGCTCACAAATAATACATACCCCTCCTCCACCCCCCACAGTGTCACACCATGCCATGAAGGTTTGGCTTTTATATTGGCTTTAGAAGGCTGCATGCTTCTGCTGCTCAAGTGCTGCAACACACATCTGCCCCTAATACATTTTTCCAATAGCAGCATGGCTGTTCCTTTACAGGGATGAGGGAACCCGTGGCTCTGCAGATGTAGCTGGACTACAGCTCTCATCATTCTTGCTATGAGCCATGCTGGGATGGGATACTGGAGTCACCTGCACTGGACATTCAACCTCCACAGGAAGATGTCAAATAGCAACACAAGCCCACACCTGAAGCTCCAATTTCTCATAACCGGGCCTTACCCTGGTATGCCATGCAGGTCTCAATGACGTCTAGAGTTGGTTCGTCTTCACACAGGTCATATGGCATGTTCCCATCTGCATTCACCGCTAGCAGGTCTGCTCCACTGCAAGGAGAAAGCCAGGCATGAGAGATATCAGCACACTTGGATCCAAGGATCTCAAGGGTAATGCAGAGCACATGTGACAGAAAATCTTGTCCCATCAAGCTTTTGAGAACTGACTGCTTTTAATGAAAGGGATGGTGCTGTGCTGTTTTTATTGCAATTATCTGTTTGCTTTATAGGCTTAACTCTATCAATTTTAATTGTTTTTTAATTATTGGTTTTTCTCTGAGATTTTAGCTGTTCTTTTTATTTGTAAGATGTCTTGACTCCCTTTCAGGAGAAAAGGTGGGGTATAACTAAATTGACAACAATGACTCAGACATGGTGCCCAAAACTTAACAGTGCATTACTGGAGACATATAGGGCTGTGGTGGGTTTCAGAGGTGTTTTTCCCCCAGAGCCAAATGAAGCAAAGCAGGTGGGAGTTGAGACCTTACTTTTGTCATTGGGAACTGTATCCCCATGACTACTTTTTCCATCTGCCACCAGGATTGCCCCCTAGGTGATAAGGAAAGGCAACTGCTAAGAAAGACTTTCAGTGAATTCATTGGATTCTAAGGTGGTATGAAAATACCTTAAATTATAAACTCCCAAAGAAAACAATTCCTTCCCACTTAATACAGCAAGACACCCTGAGAGACGGTGCCTCCACCTGTCACTGTTTGGTCACAGTACTCTAATCTCTTGTCTCTCAGAAAACCAAGTGGATTAGACTCTGTAGATAAAGGGCAGGGATCCTGTGACCTTCCAGTTGTTGTTGGATTACAACACCCTGACCATTGGCCATGTTAGCCATGGCTGATAGGAGTTGGGAGTCGCAACACCATTGTGAGGGCCATTCCGCACCGCTGCTGTAGATCAAGAACACCCTCTAGTCCATAGTTCTAGCCTGAATACAATCAGTTGATCACACAGCATAAATCCAGACCAGTAGGGATACACCAGACCGTATAAAGCCCTTACTTCCAGATTAGCTTCTCAGTCCAAATAGCATATGTCATTAAGGAGTCACATAGACTGTGCTTTCTCTGGAATTTTATCACCACCCTACCTAAATCTATAATACAGTTACTACATCAGCTGCCTCTAACCTTGTGGATCTTTGCTTTCTTGCAAGAGAACCAGCCCCACCTCACCCCAAACGGTGAGAGCTTGTCTCCCTCTCACCCCAAGATGTAAGAGCTTGTCTCTCTCACATGCATTTTCACTGTCCCATTCCCACATTTCTCTCAATCATGCATTCCGTTTTGCGCAGGGCACTAAAACCGACAGGCCCACCATTCTGCTTCAACAAGTCAATTCCCGTGCCTGTAACAAAATCCTAGGGGTGTCCCAATATATTCTGAACCACATGTGGCCTCAACACGAAAATAATATCCTAATACAGATTAAGCTTGATCTGCCTTGACATTTATATCCCTTTGAAGTGGAGACCAGGCAGTCGCTTCCATTGATATTCATGCTCATTTTTCCTCCCCATGAGAACAGAGGAAATTACAATGTAAAACACACTTGCAGGTTCTTTTTATAGAGTCCGTCTAAATCAGCAAACAAAGCACAGGATCTGACATCCTTTGTACTGCTGCTACTTCTACAGGTCTCTCTGGGTTCCATGTTGTGGCACTGAAGCCTTTTGATTCTGTATTTAAACAGACCCTTTGATCTGATAGACTTCTTACTGAATACTACTTTGATTGCAACAACCACATGCTGTGTTGTGTTCTGGAGGAAAAAATCCCAGTCCGTTGCTTCTTCTGATACAGAGAATCAACTGGCACAGTGCAAAAACAACAGCATTCTTATTACTGAGGCGCAGGCAAAGCAGAATTTATTTATCCTACCATATTTGTATCCCTTTCTTCCTCCAGAGAGCTCAGCGTACCCCCAATTTTTTATTCATAATAGCCATATAAGGTAGGCTCAGAAACTGGCAGTTATGAAGTAGCACATTAAACATGCAAGATGGCGGACATCAGACTCAGGTGGTTTACTTTTCCTTCTTCCTTTTTTTTAAAAAAATTGAATCTCCATGGAGCATCAACACATTATACATTTACAAAGCAGAAGTGCAAATCCAATTTGTTTCCAGATCTAATTCAAGGTAAAAAGAGCCTAAACTCTTTGAGATCAGGATGTCTTAAGGACCATCTCTTCTCACATGAATTTGCCCATGTACTGGGGCACTAAGAGAGACTTTGTCCTGTGTCCCTCTGCCCTATGAGGCACAAAGGGTTGAGATGCAGAACAGGGCCTTCTCATCAGTAGCACCCTGACTGAATAAACTGTTCTGTGAACCACATTCTGGCAACTCTTAAAGTATTCCACTCTAGCTTATATCAAGTGGTAACATGAAATGAAGTGTGGCATAAATCCAAACCTTCACTTCTGCCAAGTCTAATCTGAATAAGTCATGAAGAACTCTAGGACTGCTTACCCATGGGGGAATACCAGGACTGTTGTTCTGGAACGCAAAAACAATGGATGCTGTGTGGCTGGCTGCCCAAAATATTCATCTATCATGTCTTGTTCCTGCTACTTGCTGTAGTTTCTGGCTGGCCAAGAGTAGGCTAGTGAACTGGATCAGACGAGTGATTCGGATGTCCTTCACCCCCATGGACCATCTTTGACAGTTTGAGGTCCGCCTGCCTGTCAATCACCTGACATCAGAATGTCAGGTGACACATTGTTGGAAATCAAATAAGTGTTGCTGATCAGCTAAGACCAATAGCAGAGGGGATGGACTGGAAACACAAGAATAAGCAACAAGGACCCCAACTTGTATCAAAGGTATTCAAAACAGGTCCGGCCCAGCATAAGACAGAAAAGTAACACAGGTCACCTACTGCTGAATCAGGATCTTCACCAGGTTGATGTGTCCACATGTTGCTGCCGCATGCAGAGGAGTCCACAGCTCATTGTCCTTTGCGTTGACATTGGCACCATGGTTCAGAAGAAGCTTAACGACCTCTTCATAGTTGTCTATGCAGCACTGTTGAGAGTTAAAAGACAGCAGAGGTTTTGTTTCATTTAACAAAATCAATAACCCACTTAAACAACATAATAATCTCAGACAAGTTTATATTAAATGGTTTTAAAAAATCATTAAAAGGGGGGGAAGCACCCACAGATTTTAAAACCGCTAACATAGTTAAATTATCAAAATATAAAAAAACAAATAGACATAGTAAAATTACATGTCTGGGTAAGATTGCCTAAACAAAAATGGTTTTAGCAGGCCTTGAAAACTGTACAATGAGGCACCTGTCTAATATTAACTGGCAGGGAATGCTAAGAACAGGGGCTGCCACACTGAAGGAATGATTTCTTGCAAATGCAGAACAAACATTGTAGGCTAATTCAAATTCAGATTTATTAATAAGGCAGCCAAATACAGGTTTCAGCCAAACAGAAACATATGGACATAAATTATACATAAGAACCATACAGAAAGAAACTTGACCTGTACAATAAATAAAACATACATAAAAACAGAATCTTGGCACTCAAGGAAGGCCACATGGCTTTGTCTAAGTTGAGCTGTGCTAAACATTACAGACCTGTCTGAACTGGACAACAGATATTTAACCTCATGCATATTCCGGAGGGTAGCAACTACTGCTAAAGATTTCTCTAAATACTTATGCCTAGGTGTTTCATAAAGCTTACAGTGCAGAATATAGAGGCTGGTGTTTTCCACCCAGGGGCCACCACATAAACAAAACCACTGATCTCTGGCGATTTCCTTGAATCTGCCTTCCAGAAAATTAGACTTCATAGCTGTAGATGAAAATTCAGGGCTATTTCGCTTCCCCATGATGCAGTTTTAAGGCAGGGAAAAAGCAGCGCCATCCATGTCCTGTTCTGCAAACAGATCTTGGAGCTGCAGATGTTATGGAGAGCTTGCAGAAGTGCCAGTTCCAGCGGACTGATGCACTTAACTGGGTACATATGGGGGTGAGATGATCCTTTAAATAAACTGGTTCCAAGCTATTGAGGGCTTTATATCTTAATTGTGACACCTTGAATTCGGCCTGGCTTGTTCCTGATACTTCGGGATGGGAGTGGGGGGAGAAATTTGATTAAATTCACATTTAAAGTCAAACTTAATTTGCACTATGTGGGCAGCTATCCATCACACTTCTCAAAATGGTGCAGTTCTCCAGTCAAGAGATGTACACAAAAATGCAAATGCATATATTAGTGAAAATAATATTTAAAAATGCATTATGTTAGGGGAAATCAATTTGCAAAAATGTGTAGTTTAGGCAAAACAGCATACAAAGATCCATACGTTAGGAGGAATTTGCACTAAAATGCTGGTGAATTTTCACAAACCAGGACCAGGATATCTAAAAGACTGCCTCATTCCCTACCCAACTGATCACTATGTCGACAGGAGGCGCAACCTGCAAATACAATCCCACCAGGAAGTCCATTGCACATAATGTTGGAATCGGGCCTTTAGTGTGATGCCATTATGAAACAAACACCACCCTAGGAAATTCTAAATGTCAAATACCAACAACAAAAGGATATCTGGAGTTCAGTTGACTAGAAATTTGCCTTCCATCTGCAGTAGTGATATGACATTGTTACATGTTCACATTATCTATTAACGTTTGCATTTATCACCAAATGGTATAAACTAACCCTTGTATGTCCTCATTTCTGCTCATGACTAGAGGAACAAACAGTTTTTAAACTATGTGATGACTGAACAATGAGCCTGGTCACTATATGATACTGAAGTCAATAATTTTAGTGAGCTTGCTTTCTGCAAATGATCCCTGTCTGAAGTTTTCCCACCTGTCTAGAAAGTTACTTTTACAGAGCGAAAATGTTTTCCTTTGTCATAGGGACAACAAAAAGGAAACATCATCATATTTATTTATTTAACTTAACTTAACTTATGAATCGCTTCCTATGAGTCACCTCAACGTGATTTACAATACAACAATGTATCTAAAACAGTTACATATATTAAAAAACAGTTTGCAATTACATATATTAAAACAATTTTTGAAACAGAACACCACTTTAAAACAACAATGGGACTTACATAAAATCAGTTAAACAAACAAACTAGAACAGATACCAACTACGATTAAGATTTTTAGAAGCTTTGCCGAAATATATATTTACATATATATCTTTATATTTAGCTTGTTTCAGGAGCTAGTTTGCATGTCAAAGTAAACAACTACCCAGTGCCAGAAAAATAATGCTCATTTGCAGAAGAATCTGGGCTTCAGCCATGGGGCATCAATAGCTGCATTTACAAAACCTACTAAGAAAGAACGAAATTTGGATGCAGTTATCCACCTCCAGAATAAGCTTAACAACCCTCCCTCTGTTGTTACTACCCACCTCCTCAGTGCCTAGAAAATAGGCATCCAGATGGTCTCCGGAAAACCCAGCAGCCATCTGATTTCAGAAAGTTGAGGAAATAAGGATACGACAGTGAGTCCAGTCTCATTTCCCCCGCATCAAAAGCCCATTCAAACACATTAGCAACCTGAATGATCTGCCTTATAATGATCTGCCCTAGAATGATCTGCCAATTATCCTACATGATCCTTTTCTCATCACTTTTGGGTTGTTTTGAAGATCAGAAACATGCATGTAGCACATCCAGTCTGAGGACTCTTCTGCTTATGCCGTCATCCTTTAACCTACACAGTTGGTTCGAAACACATAAAGCTGTCTTCTACTAGGTTAGCCCATAAGTCCAATATTGGCAGGGGCTTTCTGAACCAGCTGTGATCCACATCCTTGTATTAGTTTATTAAAAACAGATGTGAGGATGCTTGTGTGGATCTGGATCTCGGGGAGTGAGGTTTAAACATTCTCCCGTGCTATTTTACCCAACATAAAATTATTAGCCAGAGTGGAGTGTGTGCACGCTCTCCCCCCCCCCCCATTTCAATAGTTTTACAGTCATCTTAACATTTCAAAACTTCCTCTTTCTACGGTTCCTGAAATTGATTTTTTTATCATTTCCTGCATATTCTAAATAAACTTAACTTATTCTTTTATTCTTTTAATTATACTTTAATTATATACTCTGATGAAGCTGCAGGTTATTACAATAACCCTGCCAATGTCCTTATCTGTTTACAATTTGTTTGTAAATATTCAATAAACCATTACCATTCTTTTATATATATATAAAGTTTGTTATCTTGATTTTTTGTTTTTCTGGTAAGTTTCACCATTTCTGCATAGTCTATAAGTTTTTGTATCCATTCTTCTTTCGTCAGGACTTTCTTTCCATTTTGGGGCAAATAACATTCTTGCCGCTGTAGTCTCATACATGAATAAATTTCTGTACTGTTTAGGTAGTTCTACCCCTATAATTCCAAGAATGAAAGCTTCTGGTTCTTTTGGCAAATGTTATTTTAAACATCTTTTTCAATTAATTATATATCATTTCCCAGTAAGCTTTAACCTTACTACAAGAGCACCACATATGATAGAAAGTTCCTTCTTTCGCTTTGCATTTCCAACACTTATTCGATTTTTATTTATATATTTTTGCCAATTTACTTGGTGTTAGATACCATCTATATAACACAACCGGGGAAATTCTGTGTGTGTGTGTGTGTGTGTGTGCGCGCGCGCGCCAATGGTGGTCAACCAATGGTGTATAGCCAGCTTTCCAAATGGTAACAAGGAAAACGTAATTGGAATCCCAGTCAGGTAATACCTTTATTAGAACCCATCAAAATGTTACAAAAGACAGTCGTACCTTGATTTTCAAACAGCTTAGTTCTTGAACGTTTTGGCTCCCAAACGCTGCAAACCCGGAAGTGACTGTTCCGGTTTGCAAACTATTTTTGGAAGCCGAACATCCGACGGGGCTTCCTGCAGCCAATCAGAACATTTTGGAAGTCGAACGGACTTCCAGAACGGATTCTGTTTGACTTCCAATGTATGACTGTAGCGACAAACCCACAGCAGGGAGAAACCCAAAGCAGCCAGGCTTTGTCTTTTCAAAAATAAGGAGCAGCTATTTTTTTCTTTGTCCCAGAATCCTAGGTGTGCTCCTTGTTTATTCTTTTCTACAGATCAACACAAACTACTGTACATTAACCTTTTATCTCCTTTGGCTTACTAAGTAACTGGGGACTTCCTGCAGTTCTAGTTCATTCCTCCCCTGCTACATTGACAGCATGGCAACAGCCTACGTGAGCATTTTCTTTCATCTGACCCTGCCTGATATCACACTTCACCTTCCCTAAACACTTACCTGATGCAGTGCAGTTAATCCATCTTCATTGCACAGGTCTGGGCTGAAGTTGTTGTTCAATAAATAACAGACTGCAAGAGACAAAACAGAGAAGTTTGTCCTCAGTAAATATTATCGCTAATTTCACCTTCAGATGGAACAAACAACTGGCAACAAAGAATAAAGAGAGGATTTCAATAGCTAAAATGCCCAAGCCAATAAACGACTCTTGCAGGGTAACAACAGCCTTGAGGCTGACAAATATCAATTATTATGAGGCTGTTCTACAGAATGGGATTCTCCATGTCTGTTGAAAATTTCCTGTGTGGATGGTGTTATTTTGACCACATAAGGATTGACACCTGGTGAATGAGTCCACTATTAGTATGCAAGGTTACATTCTAAACTGAGGAGATAGAATTCTGAACAGTATTACTTTTACTGCAGTGAAAGGGTTATATGTCTGAACACCTCCATACATAAAACACACACATACACACCAAGACCCAAATAGCTCCATGCATGAGTTAAATTATCCAATGGCAAAAATCTATTAAACATGTATCCCCCTCAGCTAGTTCCTACATACACTAAACGTGTTGAGTATTCCAAAATACAACCCTTCTTGTCTTCAGAACTCTACTACCATGGAATACCAAAGCAATGTGGTCTTCTTGTCTTCAGAACTCTACTACCATGGAAATACCAAGCAATGTGGCTAAGCTGCAATCTTATACATGCTTACATGGTTGTTGTTTTTAAATTGTATTTTAATCCAACTTTTAGAAGAATCTCACTGAATATATTGGGACTTTTGCACAAGATTAGGCTGCAAGAGCCATGAACTGGTCCTCCATGGGTCTGGTTTTTGAATCACCAACAACATTTTGTCAATGAAGCACTGCTTTTAGCATTTTGCTCACCCCTCTGTAATGTTCCTGAACGAATGAAAACACAAGCCAAGAAGATAATCATTCTCATTTCCTCTCCCTCCAACGGCTTGGGGGAGCCAGTGCTACTAAAGAACCAGTATTATGCTGACCAAGGATATATAAACCTTAAGGGGAAAGAAGGCTACAAAATGAAGAGCTTTAAAAGGAACTAAATGAGCACTCCATTAAAAGGCTGTGCACACAGCCTATATGGTGTACAACATAAGCTGTATCAAGTACATTACAGGAGGAAATGTGAGTGTTAAAAAGCTACTTCTCTGTCAGCTATTCAAATTACAAGCGAAGACCTAACAGATGTGTCTAAATAAATTGAAATCACAGATGTCATGGGCAATGGGTTGTCTCCAGTGCTGGCTCTACATAAAGTAGACCTATTGAAATTAATGAACCTATTTTAGTCATCTCAATTAACATCAGTGGATCTACTCTGAGTAGGAATAGCACTGGATGCCACCCTATATATGCATTCTGTCTCTAAAGGTCCACTGACGTCAACAATTAGATGAGGGTGGTGGTTGACAATGTAAAGCCATTAGATAACTGATGTTTGTTATTGCTAGGAACAGCGAATGCTCAAAGGTGATCATACTTTGTTATTTTATGTAAAAAGAAAAACCCTGTCAATGCATGGGTTGGATTACCACAACATGTTAGGCATTTGCGATACCAAAAGTGCATTATCTACCTTTATCATTTTCAAATGGACAAACGAACTGATCCATAAAGGTAAAGGTACCCCTGCCCGTACGGGCCAGTCGTGTCCGACTCTAGGATTGTGCGCTCATCTCACTTAAGAGGCCGGGAGCCAGCGCTGTCCGCAGACACTTCCGGGTCACGTGGCCAGCGTGACGAAGCTGCTCTGGTGAGCCAGCACCAGCGCAGCACACGGAAACGCCGTTTAGCTTCCCGCTATGAAGCGGTACCTATTTATCTACTTGCACTTAGGGGTGCTTTCGAACTTCTAGGTGGGCAGGAGCTGGGACCGAAAGCCGGGAGCTCACCCCACCACGGGGATTCAAACCGCCGACCATACGACCAGCAAGTCCTAGGCACTGAGGTTTTACCCACAGCGCCACCCGTGTCCCATAACATATATAAACCATAACATGGCTTAATCATTATGGCTGTTTACCTTAGGAACCCTCAGAATGGTGGTCTAGTCTACACAATGCAGTAATGTGAGATGGGAATGCCCTCTAAATATTCTCCAGCTACACAGAGAGGATGGCATGATCAAGAATCCTGGACCTCGCTGAACAGAACAGACGAGGGGCAACAAGCAGAGGACCCAGGAGACTGGCTCTTCCTCTACCTCCACATCAGCACATTAGTGTAATTTGCAGAACACAAAACTAGCTCACACAGCACTCTTCTTGAAGACACAGGCAGCCTAGTTCTCCCTCAGACAACCCTAATATAACAGACCTGTGAATGTGTGTTTACAAATTTGTAATTATGAATAGGATTCAGGACATAGATGGAGGAAAAATGCCTTCCAAGTTCCTGTAACTTGCTTAGCTGCTCTCTCTCTCTCTGTGTGCACATTTCAAAACATTTTTTTTAAAAAAGAACAATGCACAAAAACTTGGTGCAGCTCTACTTAAAACATCTTAGGTGTATCCCTTAAAAAGGCAGTGTACTCTCAGAAGTTGTCCCCCCTTGAATACAGAGAAATACTAAATATATAACAAGATAGCCTTATACTTTTATGGGTTTTTTCCTCTACCCCTTTCCCATCCTTCTCCTCCAAAAATAAAAAAAATAAAAATTGAAAATCAAAATGAGTTAACCAGCATGTATGGCATATGCAGTCGAACTGCACCTCACAGTATATCCAGTTTAGATAACTTGTGCAACTCATCTAGCAAATCCAAATTTATGTTTATGCTTCTGTCGCTGGCTGGCTAACCACACCGCCCTGCCCTTCTAATACCAACTGACGGATAGATGTGTCACTCAACAGAGGCTCTGGTTTGCTCTTGTTTACTTTGGATGTGATTTCCATTAGGACGCTTAATTCAATCTGGCTCATTTAAAAGCCATTGTGTACTAATGACACGGGGATCTGTATAATCATGTTGACCCTGCTTTCAGTGATATGATCCTGTTACTGTGCAGAGATTAATCTTGTCAGTTCTCCCCTCCCCACTTACATTTGAGAAAAAAATGTCAAAATAAACAAAACTTGCCAGTTCTATTCTTTTCTCCGTTGACGATGATATTTTAGGAGAAGTACCATGTACGTTTAAGTCATAAAAAGAGCCCATGGAACCATATATTTTCCATTGCTAACAATGGCATTCCTGTTTTATCTGTAAAACCTATGAATGAAGGCAGCAGACCTTTCCAGTTTTATGTCCAACATATGTTTTCAGAGGTTTCCTGCCCAATGCAGGATCCCACAGGCAAGGGAGCAAGGCAGGTCAGTGGCTGCAGGACCACTGACAGCTCTGAGTACTCCCTTGAGGGTTGAGGGCAAGCTGAGGGCAGATCGAGACCCTGCACATGACTTCCCCCAAAGAATCCTGGGGGAAAGTCATGCGCTTTAAATGTGCATTGAACTTGCTTGAAATGTAGGTATGGCTCTGCCCTGAGCCCTTAAAAGCATCTGCATCCAGACTACTTCTCCCAGGCTCCACCCCTTTGTGGATAACTAGTCTTAAAAGACCAACCCTTTGGTCTAGAGGTGGGCACTCGTCCTCCATTCCATAGCTTCCACCCTGTGCCCTCCTTGTTCTGTTGGGAGGAATTGGGTTCCGCAGGCTCACGGGAAGGTGCCAAACCAATGGCCTCAAGTTACAAGAAAGGATCTTCTGACTAAACATCAGGAAAAACTTTTTGACAGTAAGAGCTGTTCGACAGTAGAAAGGTCTCCTTCGGGAAGTTATGAACTCTCCTTTATTGGAGGTTTTTAAGCAGAGGTTGGTTGGTTGGATGGCTGTCTGTCATGGATGTTTTAGCTGAGATTCCTACATTGCAAGGGGTTGAGGTCCCTTCCAACACTACAATTCCATGATTCATTGTTAGGTCTATTCTCCACAAACGTCATCTAAACTAGTGGTGAGCCCCACATCCTATGGGCATGTACTGTGTGAAAGAATTCTTCCTTTTGTCTGTTCTCAATCATCAATTCCACCGGATGGTAAGGTCCAAATGGTTGTAACTGTAAGACAGTGAGGAGGAGGAGACATCAGTCTCTTTCTCCATTCTATTTTCCATAATGTCCTGGCGAGTCTGGGGAGAAGTCATGAGTTACACATAACTTGAGCATGGGCATGTTCACCGTGCATACAAATCATTCTGATCACCCCTGGGATACAATTGCTCACATCAACTGTTTTGCAGCACAGATGGGATAGGCTCCCAACACTGGTAGGATGTTGTTTGTGAGGATTAGATGCAGTGAATGATCACATGACAGTTCCCCTTATTTCACCAACCCACCGATGCTACGGTGGCTTTCTGGAATAGCTTAGTCAGCTGTAAGTAAAGATTAAGGTTTAATGGGGAATTTGTTCCTATTACACCCCCCCCCCAAAAAAGGGGGAAATAATTTGCTCTATTCACACTAGATAAAAACATGCGTGACCATCCCTCTACAAACCAAGCAAGAAACTGACATATATTTCTGAAATGCAGGTTGTTAACCATATGGCTCTGTGTGAGCCATCTGATATTTTATCATCATTCAGAACATTAACTCTCAGTTACAAATGCAGTGGTGCTCAGGAGGCCCTGCAAATTTCAGAGTGTTTTCAGGCTAATGGCCAGTTTCCAGCTGATGGAGAAGATGCCATGAATGGGCCAGGCGTAGGTGGAATTGTATTCCTGCAGACTTGGCAGTGGCAGTAGGTTGGTTTTCCTGCCACACCTCATTACAATCCCCCAAGATTCTGCAACAATGTTCTGGCAACAGATCCTCAGTGACAACAGCAAAGGAACTTCCAGAATGCAAAGAACTGCGAAATGTACTCCAATCGTATACTGCTTTTATAGTTACACTCTTCCCCTAGGATACCCTGGGAGCAGGAGTTCTGAGGTCACAGAAAATCCTTGCTGTTACCATTTTCAGGATATTTGAAAAGTCAGAGCATTGAAGCTTAATCCTCCATACGCACACTGGAGAGGCAGGCAGAACTGCACCTGCCAG